AAATTAGAAAAAAAAAAAAAAAAAAAAAAAAAAAAAAAAAAAAAAAAAAAAAAAGAGCATATGACTAGTCGTGAGAGATGATGAAAACACTCAACTTAACAAAAGAAAATGTAGAGGCTTAAAAACTATCATATAAAAGTGTCTTTAACATTTTATTGGTGGAGAATTTCATGTTGGAGTTGTCGCTAACTGGGAATTACCAGCGTGCGCGAGATCTCGTCGATGAAAATATTAATTGTGTATCAGCGCCATCTCGCGCTGCGGATTTCTCGGACTCGGAGTCTTACGCAAACTATTTTCTAGGGGAACCGTCTTGAAAAAAAAAAAAAAATATATATATATACCCGATCAGAAATTTAATGGGTTTGCCACCTTAGTTAATGGGGTCCCCCTTCGGCTGCCTAGTTGGTACCCCATTAGGCGCGTCACGGGGCGAACTGAGGGTCCATCGTAGGCTGCCCCAATAACCTAGCTAAAACTGTTGAAAACAATATATATTTCTGCGTTTGGGTTAAATATATGTGACCGTAATTTAATTCTTCCTTATCTGTACGGCCGATAAACTCCATAATCTGCACAGCACGCATGGTAAATGTATATATATGTAGTAGGCCGAAAACTTCGAAATAAGCAAACGCAATACGGTATACGGTTCGAGATTGATGGTCACTTGTGTACTAAAAGAACTAAAATTTGACAAAAGTGTAACAACGGCCTCCCCGTACATGTCTCGCGTAACTCGCGTTGGTTGTAAGTATGGCGTAGATCAAAGCAGGCAGTGAAACTTACCCCCCAAAAACCCAATAACCCTCAAAGCTGCGGTCACTCACATACATCGTCGATGTGACATATATCGAATTGCATTTGGATCCAGCGCCATCTAGCGTTGTAAATCGTGATGTACCGACGGTCGACACGAGATAAGAGAGAGACCTGCAGTTCGAGCGAGTCAACCAACCGTCGGTACAGCAATAAAAGTACCGACCCTGCAGTATCGAAGTTGACTGACGCTACCGACGACGAAGCTGAATTTGGCCGGGGGTCTAATTTAACCAACGTGAGGCATGTGCGGGGGTCATTGTTACATTTTTGTCAAATTTGAGTACTTATTATTAGGTACTATCTCGAACCGTATTGCGTATTTCGAAGCACGCAAACAGAGTCTATAATAGACCCTTCACGTCTGCGATTTTTGACCTACTATATACTATATATAGTACATGTTTGTATATCTATACATGATCTAGTGATTTACTGCTGGTGTAAATAACTAGAATCTAGGGACTTTTTCAAGACGGTTCCCCTAGAAAATAGTAGCGTAAGTCCGCGACATCCGCAACGCGAGATGGCGCTGATACATTTTTCACGATGAAATTGACAATACCAAATACCAATTACCAAATTACCATACTCCCCGTACACACGCGTTTACCAGAATCTTTGGCGTTTACCGGATTGTAGTTTGTAGTTTTTCCCTGCAAGTGTAACACTACTTATAACCTTGAGGCTGTGTTTCGCAAACGCTGCCAGCAGTTAGGTAGGTTGTGGTAACGCCGCATGATCAACCTGTACTAACTGTCGGTGGGTTCCGCATGTCAACAAAATTCCGAAATATCGGTGTTAGCATAGAGGAGTTACAACAGGGTAGCGTTTACGGAATACAGCCTATGATATATATCCCTTTAAAGATTGCTCTATATATATATTTGGCACGCTACACACTCTATACTTTCATTTAATGAGATGGTTTGGTTGACGCCTGCAGTTGCGGGTTGCGGGTAGGATAAGATATAAGCTTACTTAGGGTACCCTATAATACTTATAACTTATATACCATCACCTAACTTCTGTATATATAGGCAAAAGTAACATATATTTTGGTGTCGTGGACTCCGTATTCTCGGTGACTCCATGTTCGTGGTGATCGTGAATCGTGGTATTTATATATATAGTCGTGTGTACTTATATAGGTAGATATCGATTGTAAATAAAGTAAACAATTTTATCGTGATGTCTCCAAGGTCTTTAGTCGAGCGAGCATATTGTTTAACCCCTCGATCAAGTACAAGTATTTGTAAGGACTAGTAGAAGAGCAATTGAGCGAATTTTGTAAGTTACATACCTACTTATGTAGTTTTTAAAACCAATATACATACGCTTGTTCCATGTTTCTACTTTTTTAATGAAAAAAAAACGTAATTATACACTTGTGGTACCTAATTATAGTACCGCATGAGCATTTTGTGGTCGTTAGAGATATGAAGAGAGTAATTATTCACATGGATTTCAGATGTTGAACGAAAAATCTTTGGAAGCAGTGGTGGAACTTGAGGTTATACATCACCCGGCTTGTTCTCCCGTATTCAATTTATCAAACAGCGACTAAAAAAAAAAAAAAAAAAAAATGAAGATCAAGCCCAGAGTTTACTTTGACGTGGAGGTTGGTGGTCTGCCAATTGGACGCATCGTGTTTGAACTGTACTCGGATGTGTGTCCGAGGACAGTAGAGAACTTTCGAGCACTGTGTACTGGAGAAATGGGCCTTGGTTTGACGACAAACAAACCGCTTTTCTACAAGGGCATTGTGTTTCACCGAGTCGTTAAGAATTTTATGATACAGAGTGGTGACTTTTCCGTAGGAAATGGAACAGGTGGGGAATCAATATATGGTGGAACTTTTAAGGACGAGAACTTTTCAATCATGCATGACAAGCCTTTTCTATTGTCGATGGCCAATAGGGGCAAGGACACTAATGGTTCCCAGTTTTTTATTACAACCCAGCCAGCCCCCCACCTTGATAATATTCACGTGGTGTTTGGAGAAGTCGTATCTGGCCAGGAGGTAGTTAATCACATTGAGAATCTACCTGTTGACCGAATGTCTAGACCTCTACAGGATGCCAAGGTTGTGAACTGTGGAGAGCTTGTTCTCAAGTCGAAACACAAGGATAAAAAAAAGAAAGAGAAGAAGAAGGAGAGTGCTAGTGAATCTAGTTCCGAGAGTGATTCTGAAAAGAACAAGAAAAAGAAAGCCAAAAAGAAGAAGTGGACAGAGGTCGAGGACAAGGCTCCTGAGACAAAAAAGAGCAAGACTGAGGATGCACCTCATCCACTGGTGTCTGTCACTAAAATCGATCCGGACGAGATACCCGAGGTGCCTGCTAACAAATTCCTCTATCGTGGTGGTTCGGATAATAACGCCAATCAAAAACAATTTGTGAGAGATCGCCGGCAAAATTACAGAACTTCACCCGGTGGTAGGATCTTCAAAGGACGAGGGGTCTGCAGATATCGTTCTGCGTCGCGAAGTCGCTCCCGAAGCTTCACGCCACCGCACTGGAAACGCGAGCAGAAGAAGATAATCAAGTTTCCCGAGTTCCAGAAGATAGTCCAGAAACAACAGAGAGCCGACGACGCACTGTCTGACCAAGAGGGTAAGGATGAGGAAGGAAAAGCCAGTACACAGAACAATGGAAAACTCAACGAAAAGAATTCTCAGCGAGAAGCAGAGAAGGAAAACACCCCTAAAAAAGAGAAGAAGTCATCGCACGGCAGTCCCAAGGGACATAACAACTCGGTGGACAACAAGCATCGGCCTAGCAAGCCCAGCAATTGGGACGAAAAGCCCAAGTCGAGCCGGCACAATGATGGAAGCGATTCGAAGCAAAAGTCCAGCCGGCACAATGACTCCAATGACAAGTACAAGTCGTCCTCGTCGTCTCACAGGTCATCCAGACGATCGGCCGAGCGCAATGACGATAAGTCGCGAAGCCGGCATCGCTCCAAGCATCGGTACCACAAATCGTCACCCAGTCGCAGTAGGAGGAGGTCGCCTCGTCGGCGCTCGCCTTACGAGTCCTCGTCGTCGAGGTCGAGACGTTCACCTCGTCGACGATCACGCTGAAGGCAGTAATTTCTCTGCGATCGGATTATTCACGGGTGTACCTAATTTCATCATTTGACGAAGATAATTATAACGGTTATACCCAGTGGCTTTGAATGAAGTAAATTTTATAGTTATGAACTTGGTTGTTTAACCAGCAAAAATAAAAGGGAATCGTTTTATTAGAAATGGGTTTCATTTTTATTTAGAATAAAAAAAAAACAATGATTTTTCTAGTAGTCGCATATGCTCTTATCTACAATTCGAAAAATGTTTGTATATACATTAACAAAAAAAAAAAAAATAAAAAAAAAAAAAAAAAAAAAAA